CATCAATTAAAAAAGGCCATCCACCAGTTGTACATAAGTTAAGTTGTATACATTAAGTTATGTTATAATCGTTTTGTCTAACCTATATCTGTCTAACATATATTTGTCTAAAGCAGTTAGTGCAGCAACTATATATGATTTTGGAAACGGTCAGACGTTACAGCTAGTATCCACTAGCTTTCGTCAGTGACTGAAAGACCAGAGAGAGAGGAGAAATGCAGGTTTATAAGCACAAACTATTGATTGATATGCAAATAAAGTGAAGAAAATATTTTTTGGAAGTCGAAAAGGGTACAAAAGTCAGACAAGTTAAGACAATGATAATGCAAATTAGTCAGAAACCATTGGTATCGATTCTGACTTAAATAAGTAATTTTAAGTCTGAAATTCGAAATAATATTAGATTTATTTAGTTAAACGCAGTACTGTGTATATTGTCAAGTCTACGTGACCCCTTGGCAATTGTAAGATATGGCTTGGGCTTTAAGAAAACGTTGGCTATATATAGGGATAATGGAATTCCATATTTCAACAAGAGGTCGATGATTTCATACCTTCGTCATGTATGAGTTTGGTTTATCAGAAATATGCTGCTGTTTATAGTTTGACTTTTATTTTGCTGGTATTAACCAAATGATGTGTGACACATAAGTCGTAGTACAGAAACACACGTTACGCCAGTACGGAAATATCCCAACATAGTCATGATGCTTGTGACTGTCGTCACTACTAGGTGTATCTTTTCGGATTTAGTGTGTTGTGCATTCAATGTTGGTGTTTTCATTGACTTGCACGTTACTTGAAAGAGTTGTATGCCTTAGAATGGGACGTTAATAAGCCGTGGTCTACTGTTTATGCTCGTATTGGGAACATATGTCCCGCGAGCGAGGCGAACAACCTGATAGACATCTGTCTTCCCAGCAGTGAACATCAGTTTTAAATACTCCCAATTGATTGCGATTTATTACTTCTCTCCACACAAGAGGGGACAGCTCCTATTTCAAAGTCCCTCAGAATATCATTGTAGATATACCAGAAAAAAGCTGTCAAAGCAAAAACCACCTATCTAGTGTGTTCAACTATAGAAAAGTCACATTGACAGGGTAGTCCAACCGCCAAATCATCCACTTAGTCCTAAAATTTCACTTTTTGACCAGCGAAATAAAGTACGAGAAATGTAAACAATAAGAGAATGACCCCTGAACCCTTTGACGGCTAGCAAAACACAAGGGGATGGTATTAGTATTAAAGCTCTACCGAACAGTAAAAAACACTAAAAGCCAGTAATTTTTTAACAAAATAGAAAGAAACACTCCGGCTGGAAGATGCCAACATATATCTATTTATACAAAAAGATGTTTTCAGTTGGTTTGAATGCGCTTGCCAAAGAGTCGGTAAATATCTTATAAGGCAGGAAATACAAGTATAGAGATACCGTACAACCAACATGTTTTTTTTTAATTTTATTGATTATTGATTACAAGTATACAGATGCCGGTCAGCCTACATGTTTTTTTCTAATTTTTATTGATTATACGTTTCGCGTATTCAGGCATATTATCAAGCGTTTCCTCCGCGTTTGCATGATGTTTATTTCCTCTCCTTGCAGGCTAAAGGTCACTATTTTTCACCTGCCAAGGACAAAAAAGTGAAATTATTGACAGAAAGATAGATTGTTTGGGAAAATGGTTGGAGAGAAGGACAAAGAGATGCAAGGGCAAAAATAACTATAAACATTATGACCTGATGATGATGATGACATAGGTGTGGAAACAATCAAATAAATGAAAGTAGAATAGGAGTAAACGTTTATATCGATGAATGTACATCGGGGTTGTATATGCAATGATAGTTTTTTTAACACTACGTTTCCATTATTCCACATTAGGCCATGCACGTACGTGTACATGGTACCCTAACATCTGTGATGTAGGGGAACATCCAGCCATTGTCCAGAGTGGCCCTGCTCATCAATATTTCAGATTCAATCAGACAGTGAGATGCCCACATATATAATTAATTGCATTTGGATCCTATCTAGGGTGTATCAAAATATCAACAATTTCGGAGTTCGGAGGTCTCATGCCTTCGACAGTGTGATATTGGTTTGGTGTGTGTTGTGTGTGTGTATAGTGTAGGTTTCTTTGAAGATGATTATCGTACTTATAGTGGTCAGAGAGTCTTTTTGTGAACGAAGAAACATACTATTTACCTAGCCTGTACCATGTCTTTCTACGGAAATACGGATCGTAGAATTCGGCGAAAAGGAGATGAGAATTGTCCTCCGATGTGCAGCGATCCAAACTTCAAAACGGCAAAAAATCCTTCAACTAGAAAGGCCAACATTTGCTCAAGAGGAAATACATCACATTTGACCCATTATTCCTCCCCATTTCAAATTTCCCCTAGAAAGGCCAACATTTGCTCAGGAGTAAATGCAGCATGGCTTCACCACATCCCCAGTACCAAAAATGGACATATCCCCCTCCCGCACAAATGGATTGTTCCTAAATCACCCACATTTTATACCCCCATGCAGCAATGGAATATTCCAACCCCTTCTGAATGGGGAACATATAGAACCCTGGTAGAACCCTGAAGTGTTCTATTTGAACTGTCAGTTTGGGATTTGGGTTTTCAAGCTACAATCGCTGTTTTTACTCATAAAAGGTAAATAATAGTATTTAAAAGGATTGAATCTGCATAGTGAATACTTATAGTCTAAGCATTGGTGCCAAGCTACCTTTATGCTGAATTTCGGGTCATTTGGTTTTGGTATTAGCGCATAGGAGCGAAAAATGTACTTTTTTGGTAAAAAAAATAGACAAAAAAGTCCCATTTTTACATAATTTTTAAAGTGACAAACGCCAAAAGCGTGAAAAGAGTTCAGTGGGGTTGTATCAAATGATCTCCTAAACCAAATTTTTAGGTCATTCGGTTTTTAATATTAAAGCAAAGGAGCCGAAATTGTACATTTTTGATCCGAAAATAGCAAAAAATTCCTTTTTTACACAATTTGGAAGCGGGGTACGCCAATAGTGTGATTGTACATGTGTTCAAGGTATCCACATAGCCTTCTGTCGAAGGCAATGAATAGGGAGAAACTAGGCCAACAAAGAGACCATACGATTGAACTGCTTCTAAAATATAATTTACCAGGTAGTGCCGTATGGTTCTCGCGGAAAAAATAGCAGAACTGAATTTACAATTAACTCTGTGAAATGGTTGTATGTACTCTGGTCCTATATTTGCGGCACAATTTTGCTACCAGTTCTAGCTAACATGTCGGAGTCGAACACTTGTAAACTTCAAGTTGCACAGAATAGGGCATGCAGATTGATTTTTAAATGCTCACTAGACACACCTGTCAAGCAGATGCACTCAGATGTGGGTTGGTGGACGGTCAGGGAGAGGTTCGCTGCCAGTACTTTTGATATGTTTTTTTTTTTGAATTCTTAACAGTCACGAACCCCAAAAGAATCTTCAGCTTGATTGGTCCCCTCAATTCTACCCAGAAGTATTCCAAATAGATTTTCCAATTCTTGCAGTTTCAAACTACCTAAAAAAAAAACAAACAGCAATTAGTAAACATTTCTCTACCGCGCCATTAATGTATGGTGGCACCCTGCCACCCAGTATTAAAACACGGAACAGTCCGCATTAATAAAAAAAGGCCATCCACCAGTTGTACATAAGTTAAGTTGTATATATGTTATGTTATGATCGTTTTGTCTAACCTATATATAATCTGTGATGATTATGTATGTTCATTCTCTTTTTTTTTAATTTTGCTGTCAGTAAGTTCCTATGTTTATATGTTTTGAACCCTGGAAGATTAGTCATCGACTAAAAGGTATCGAAATAAACGAAACTCTATCCATTGTTTTCTCATCCGCTGTTATAAACCCTTCACAATCCATCCCGATGGACTGTTTTAGAGCACAGAATTAGCTCCACGAAACAAATTTTAGGACAAGACAAGTAGGAATTTCAACCCACAGGTTGCGTCAACATAATAATGGGCAAATTTATGTATCATTACTTGATCAAATGCAGTCACTTAAGAAGTTTAAGAAATGTAAAAACAAGAGACGGGGAAGGGACATGTTGCCGTTGCTTAGTAAGCAGAGTGCCTTTATCAAGCACGTCGGCAGAACGTGGATGATACTGTATCAGATTCTACGTTTATTGTCCATAGTAGATCTATTTCATTATTATGTGGTTGAGACAGTGGTGGACGTCGGTCTGCGATCAGTTTAATGGATTTTTTTTCAGTTGATATTGTTTTCTAAGTTTCGTTAAATAATTTTTATGTTAACTGTCAGTACAGCCATACTTAACAAGCAGTCTACATCGAGACACGCGGTGCCTTCCATTTCGTCCAGGAGAGTGTGACTGTGTTGTGCACTTTTGGCTGTTTGTTCTGCTTGATTCCCACAGGGTGAATCCTAAGGAATGTCTGTTTGGCGTCTGCTCTGTACCGTCGGGACTATATGTTGCCTTCTCATCACTAACTGTCGTGGTGAAGGTACAGTTACTGTACTTTATACAAGGAACAAAATTAATAAAAAAAACATGTACAGTATCATGTAAAATACGTAACCTAAGTAACTCACAAAATATGTGAAGAGTTAAAATTTTGCTCCAACACAAAAAGTTCGCTCTCACCTAGAGCTTTTAAACAGTCACTTTGGTCTTCAACGAGGATGTGTATAAGGTCGTGGTCGGTTTGTAGCAAGTGGGAGATGAAAATTGCGCTTCTGAAGAGTCCTTAATTTAAGTAAGGACGAACAAACCCTTGAACTTTGTACCTTTGGTCTTTGCTGAAGGCTGCTTGGAGTTGGGTTATCTAGAAGAAGTCGCTTTGTGGATGAAAAGTGATGAAAAATGTCCACAGAACCTCCGTCCTAGCATGCAAGGCACCACACGAGATACTTATTGAAACAGTCTTTTAAAAGCTTGTGGATATTGACAGGACCATCCTGTAAATAGTGAAATTTTTTCTGTTATTGACAGGATGTTCCTGTCAATAGTGCACATTTTCCTACTATTAACAAGATGGTCCTGTCAATAACAGAAGAAATCCACGATGTACAGGACCATCCTGTCAATAGTATGCAAAATTTTCCGTTATTGACAGTACCACCTGTCAATAGTACAATTTTTTCTGTTATTACCTACAAAAATCCTGTCAATATTGGAAAAGAAAATTCCATTTTAAAATGCTTCAAGTATACTATGGGCATGCCAAGTCCATCGCTGCCGACAGATTAAAGTTTTTAACCATTACCTGTTAGGGTTTGACATTACCAATTATTGACAAATAATCCAACTTTGCAGTTAGTTTAATCTATGTGGGCAGATGTTGGCTTCTGATTGATTACTAACAATGCATTGAAAGAATCCTGTCAATAATGAAAAAAGCACAATTGAGAGGAATGGTCCTGTAAATAGTGAATTTTCTTTAATGGACAGGATATGGTCCAGTCAATATTGCAATTTTCTGTTTTTGACAGGATGGTACTGTTCTTTATATGCAGCTTTTCTTCTCTTCAAACCCGTTACGTACAAGTTTTCGGAGATTACAGGGTGCCAGTTTTAGGCCATGGTAAACTTCGTGACACGATGTATCTGTTACTGGCGGGCAGGAAGGCTATAAAGGCGGGATTATTCTAACACCACAATCAGACTACGGGGAACGATCACTTATAGCTTCAGATCAAGGCACTGTTGTCGACACAAACATGCTAAGATGCTATTCACACTTCATCACGCTGTTTATCAGATTTCAAGACATTCGATGCCACAGACATTTAAACTTACCATTTGCATACAAATTTACCATTGCTGTTGGGCGATAGATCGGTATGGGAAGTGTGTTAACAGATCGTGCTATCTTCTCTTCAAGCATATATTTTTAGTTGCATTAATACAGTATCAAATTTGCAGGACAGTATCCATTCACTACCCATTTGGCTGGATAAAAAAAGAAAACATCCCCAAAAAGCCCTCGAAATGCCTAAAAACGTAAAACAGCCGAAGCCTAAACCTCTGATTGTAAATTACCCCTGACTGACACCGATGTATTTTAACGATTGTAGCACTGACATTACAAGGATACAGCCTGCTGTAATTTTAGATTCTAAGCACGTCAAGCAGCTTTGTCTTCCGAGGCAAATTGCAAACATACCACGAACTTCTGCGCATGACAACTTCACAGAAATACCTTCCCCACACGCACCTGTGGTAAACTTCGTGGCAAGATGTACCTGTTACTGGCGGGCTGAGAGGCTATTAAAGCAGGGCCATTTTAACACCACAAGCAGACTGTGGGGACCGAACACTCTTGGCTTCCGATCAAGGCACTGTTGTCGACCAACAGAGGCACTTCAGAAGGCTGTAAAAGCGGGGCCATTTTAACACCACAAGTAGACTGCGGGTAACGAACACTTCTGGCTTCATCAGGTCAAGAAACTGTTGTCGATACAACAAAGGCGCTTCAGTTCAAAAGGCTATAAAATCGGGGCCATTTTAACACCACAAGTAGACTGCGGGAAACGAATATCTGTGGCTTCAGATCAAGGCACTGTTGTCGACACAACAAAGGCGCTTCAGATATATTGTGACTAAGGTAAGATACGAAGACTGTAATACTCTGTGCATTGCATTTTGTTGTTGATTTTTAAAAAGGGTAATGACAGCACAGTTAACAGCATAATATAGCATTGGAGTTGCCAAAAAGCAGTTAGTCCAGCAACTGGATATGATTTTGGAAACGGTCAGACGTTTCAGCTAGTATCCACTAGCTTTCGTCAGTGACGGAGAGACCAGAGAGAGGAGAAATGCAGGTTTATAAGCACAAACTATTGATTGATATGCAAATAAAGTGAATACAATATTTTTGGAAATCGACAAGGGTACAAATGTCAGACAAGTTAAGACAAGATAATGCAAATTAGTCAGAAACCATTGGTATCGATTCTGACTTAGAAAAGTAATTTTAAGTCTGAAATTCGAAATAATATTAGATTTATTTAGGTAAACGCAGTACTGTGTATATTGTCAAGTCTACGTGACCCCTTGGCAATTGTAAGATATGGCTGGGACTTTTAGAAAACGTTGGCTGTATATACGGATAATGGAATTCCATATTTCAACAAGAGGTCGATGATTTCATACCTTCGTCATGTATGAGTTTGGTTTATCAGAAATATGCTGCTGTATATAGTTTGACTTTTATTTTGCTGGTATGTAAACCAAATGATGTGTGACACATAACTCGTAGTACAGAAACACACGTTCTGCGAGTACGGAAATATTCCAACATAGTCACGATGAACGACAGAACCGCCTGGAGATCCATATGCCGAGGCGCTACGCTTCCCTTGGAAGCATGCGGCCTTGAGTGAGTGAGTGAGTGAGTCACGATGATTGTCATTGTCGTTACTACTGGGTGTATCTTTTCGGATTTAGTGTGTTGTGTATTCAATGTTCGGTGTTTTCATTGACTTGCACGTTACTTGAAAGAGTTGTATGCCTTAGAATGGGACGTGGTCTACTGTTTATGCTCGTATTGGGAACACATGCTCCGAGAGAGAGGCGAACAACGTAATAAACATCTGTCTCCCCAGCAGTGAACATCAGTTTCAAATACTCCAATTTGCATGCGATTTATTACTTCTCTCCACACAAGTCGCCTGAGTGGACAGCCTCCGATTACAAAGTCACTTAGACTATAATTGTAAATTTACCTGAAATAAGCTGTCTATGCAAAAACCACCTATCTGAGTGTTTAACTATGGAAAAGTCACATTGACAGGGTAGTCCAACCGCAAAATCATCCATTTAGTCCTAAAATTTAACTTTTTGACCAGCGAAATAAAGTACGAGAAATGTAAACAATGAGAGAATGACCCCTGAACCCTTTGACGGCTAGAAAAACACAAGAGGATGGTATTAGTTTTAAAGCTCTACCGAGCAGTAAAAAAACACTAAAAGCTAGTAATTTTTGAACAATATAGAAAGAAACACTCCGGCTGGAAAATGCCAACAAATATCTACTTATACAAAAAAGATGTTTTCAGTTGGTTTGGATACGCTCTTTAAAGAGTCGGTAAATATCTTACAAGGCAGGAAATACAAGTATAGAGATACCGGACAACCAACATGTTTTTTTTTAATTTTATTGATTATTGATTACAAGTATAGAGATACCGGACAACCAACATGTTTTTAAAAATTTTATTGATTATTGATTACAAGTATACAGATACCGGTCAGCCTACATGTTTTTTTCTTCTAATTTTTATTGATTATACGTTTCGCGTATTCAGGCATATTTTTAAGCCTTTACCCTCGCGTTTGCATGACGTTTATTTCCTCTCCTTGCAGGATAAAGGTCACTATTTTTCACCTGCCAAGGACAAGGACAAAAAGTGAAATAATTGACAGAAAGATAGATTGTTGGGAAAATGGTTGGAGAGAAGGACAAAGAGAGGCAAGGGCAAAAATAACTATAAACATTATGACATATGTGTGGAAACATTAAAATAAATGAAAGTAGAATAGGAATAAACGTTTATATCGATGAATGTACATCGGGGTTGTATATGCAATGATAGTTTTTTTAATACTACGTTTCCATTATTCCACATCAGGCCATGCACGTACGTGTACATGGTACCCCAACATCTGTGATGTAGGGGAACAACCAGCCATTGTCCAGAGTGGCCCTGCTCATCAATATTTCAGATTCAATCAGACAGTGAGATGCCCACATATATAATTAATTGCTCTTGGATCATACCTAGGGTGTAGCAAAATATCAACAATGAATATGGAGAAACTAGGCCCCCAAAGAGACCATATGATTGTACTGCTTCTAAAAATATAATTTACCAGGTAGTGCCGTATGGTTCTCGCGGAAAAAGTAGCAGAACTGAATTTACAATTAACTCTGTAAAATGGTTGTATGTGCTCTGTTCCTTTTTGTGGCACAATTTTGTCTACCAGTTCTAACTAACATGTTGAAGACGATCATTTTTACGCTTCAAGTTTTACAGAATAGGGCATGCAGATTGATTTTGAAATGCTCACTAGACACACCTGTCAAGCAAATGCACTCAGACCTGGGTTTCTTGACGGTCAGAGAAAGGTACGCTACCAGTACTTTCAATATGTTTTTTTAGAATTCTTAACGGTTCCAAACCCCAAAAACATCTACAGCTCCATTGTTCCCGTCTATTCTACCCATAGTATTCAACGAGATTTTCCAATTCTTTCAGTTTCAAACTCCCTAAAAAAAACAGCAAAACGTGAACATTTGTCTACCGCGCCATTAATGTAACACCCTGCCACCCAGTATTAAAACACAGACCAGTCCACATCAATTAAAAAAGTTAAGTTGTAAATATTAAGTTATGATCGTTTTGTCTAACCTATATATAATTTGTGATGTATATTCCTCCTTTTTTTAAATTTTGCTATCAGTAAGTTCGTATGTTTATATGTTTTGAACCCTGGAAGATTAGTCATCGACTAAAAGGTATCAAATTAAACGAAACTCTATCCATTGTTTTCTGAAGCCGCTGTTATAAACACTTCACAATCCATCTCGTTGGATTGTTTTACAGCACAGAATTAGCTCCACAAAAGAAATTGTAAAAGACAAGTAGGAATTTCCACCAACAGGTTGCGTCAGCACAATAATGGGCAAATTTATGTATCATTACTTGATCAAATGCAGTCACTTAAGAAGTTTAAGAAATGTAAAAACAAGAGACGGGGAAGGGACATGTTGCCGTTGCTTAGTAAGCAGAGTGCCTTTATCAAGCACGTCGGCAGAACGTGGATGATACTGTATGAGATTCTACGTTTATTGTCCATAGTAGATCTATTTCATTATTATGTGGTTGAGACAGTGGTGGACGTCGGTCTGCGATCAGTTTAATGGATTTTTTTTCAGTTGATATTGTTTTCTAAGTTTCGTTAAATAATTTTTATGTTAACTGTCAGTACAGCCATACTTAGCAAGCAGTCTACATCGAGACACGCAGTGCCTTCCATTTCGTCCAGGAGGGTGTGACTGTGTTGTGCACTTTTGACTGTTTGTTCTGATTGATTCCCACAGGGTGAATCCTAAGGAATGTCTGTTTGGCGTCTGCTCTGTACCGTCGGGACTATATGTTGCCTTCTCATAACTTCCTGTCGCGGTGAAGGTACAGTTACTGTACTTTATACAAGAAACAAAATTAATAATAAGAAAACATGTATAGTATCATATAAAATACGTAACCTAAGTAACTCACAAAATATGTGTAGAGTTGAAATTTCGATCCAACACAAAAAGTTCTCTCTCACCTAGAGCTTTTAAACAGTCACTCTGGTCTTCAACGAGGATGTGTATGAGGTCGTGGTCAAATTGTAGCAGGTGGGAGATTAAAATTGCGCTTCCGAAGAGTCCTTAATTTAAGGAAGGACGAACAAACCCTTGGACTTTGTACCTTTGGACTTTGCTGAAGGCTGCTTGGAGTTGGGTGATCTATATGGCATGCGCTGAAATGTAAAAAAATGAGATATTGCAGTTACTTTGTTTTTCACCGGCACTGCACGTGACAAGTGGCAACAGTAGAAAATTAAAAAATAAGGTATACGTGTGACGTAATGACGTTACCATCCCCACGACAATCGAGTGTTATCAATTCTTCTCTCTTTTCGCAGGGGCATGGCTGCGACGGGATTCGTCATGGGTCGTGGACGCCACCGGCACACCGTGGGTCATCGACGGAGTGACACACGATGCCGCTAAAGCCTTGGATGGAAACACTGGTACCTACTGGAACGTCAAAAATAGTGAGCAGAACTACACGAACTTTTACATCGTGCTGGACATAGCAGCGCCTCAAACTCTGACTCGCATCGCAGTGAATTGCAACGGAGACACCAATCATGACATCGCAGCCTTCAAGTTGCAAATTTCTCAGGTTGGGAGTCCATACAGCTGGGAGGACGTTGTGTCTGTCGATAACGTGACGGGAGGGACGGACCAGAGGCAAGAGTTCGGCGGGTTCCAGGGAACAGCGCGGTACTGGAGGTTCGTGGTCACCCGGACCCACGGTGGCTGGCAACCCTATCTCACTGAACTCAACCTCTACAGCATCTCGCCAGGTATTTTTCTTCTTTCTTTGGTTGGGCATATAGTCTGATTGCTCCAGTAGCCGGTTTACGTCTTACATTTGGAGAAAAACTTTATATCATTTCTTTGTTAAAATATGGATAATAACATGTATCATAAAATATGTGTTATTTTCTGTGAGATACAGAAGGTCAAAGATGGTCTATGCAGACGATACGATTCCTTTACTTTTCACACCGCAGCATACAGACAATAGAAGACACACTCCAGAACGATTCTGCCCGGTTAGTACAGTGGTTCCTCGCAAACAGACTTTCTTTAACCCTATCTAGGCTGGCCTTTTTTGGGATATTTGGGACGGAGGGTGGGGCTTATTCGCCCCCCCCCCCAAGAACTCATTGCCCAAAACCATGTAGATAGGTTATTCTCGTAAAACATAATGTTTGACACAAGTTTAACTAAAATTGTGTATGATAGAATATTAAGGTCTACTATGTTGCCCATAGCATTACCAGTGACGTAATATGATGAACTCATGCATATTTAAACTATCCCCCATCTTGGATCGTCAATCTTGAATTTTCGAAATTATTTTTTCAACATAAAGCCTACAAATACAATGGAAATAGACAAAATCTCTCCAAATGCAAGTAAATTTTAGTTGGTGCGCACAGGTCCAGAGCTGTCGACCAACACGACCAACTTAATCCAACTGGGACAGAATTTGATACGTTTAATTGGATAGGTAATACTATCTAGGCGTTGTGCTTGACAACGCCCTACTCTGGAGCGACCACTTTCTTCATGTGTCCAAGAAGCTATTTCGAACAATTGGAATAATGAAGTACTTGAGACCATACTTGGACAGACGAGCCCTGCTGACAATATACAGCACATTGTTCCTCCCCCACATCCTATATTACATCACCGTTTGGGACCAAGGGCTAAGAGGCATGTAGATAGACTACAAAAGCTGCAAAATAGAGCGGGTACGGTAGTACTAGGGTGCGAGACCTCTACACCCCCAGTGCAACTGTTCTGAACCTGTTAGGTTGGACCTCGGTAGCACAGCACCACAAACGAGTCAAGTTATTACCTCCATGAAAAATGGAGGTATTGTTTTTGGCGTGTCTGTTTGTCCGTCCGTTTGTGTTTCCGCACATTTGTAGTCAGCATACTACCTTTATGGATTGTGATGATATTTGGTATACTGGTAAGTCTTAGGAAGACAAAGGTTAAGGTCAAATATTGGCCTCCTGGTGGATGACCTTGGTACTGCAGCAGAACTTATTTTGTCCTTAAAATGCAATGGTCTTGACTTTTTGGTAACAGATAGCTTTTCTAATCAGGAATAAGTGTTGTGAGTTGGATCCCCATAGTAGCTTGTTCTGGAACTGTAGGGGGAAACTTTGTGGCGAAATTTTTAAAAGCCAATAAGTTTAGATAGGAACAACGTATTTTCATCTTTTTGGTGTGTAGGTAGCTGAGAGAGAGTTGTACATGATTGAATGCAAATAATGCAAATGTGGACATTTGCATAATTAATGAGAAAATTCTTTCATCACTGTGTTTTATATAATATATTATCCTATCGTGTGTCAACAGCATAACTTGAGAAAGCTTAGATGGATGATCATGATATTTGGTAGGTGGGTAGGTCTTGATGAGACCTGGAAATTATGAGATTTTGGATCCCCTAGCGGCTTTTTATGGTACTGCAGCTGAACTTCCGGTTTTGATATCTCATGATCTACACATGCTGGTTGACGAAATTTGGATAGTAGGTAGCTCTTTGGGGAAGAAGTGGCGTGAGTTTGGGCCCCCTAGCGGCTTGCTCAGGAACTGCAGAGCTATCTGTTTGAAAATATTCAAAAGAGGATAACTCAAGAACCGGTGGAAGGATCGTCGTGATTTTTGGTATGTAGATAGCTTACGTGATTCTTGGTATAATTTTGCGGCAATTATGCAAATCTGGATGTTTAATTTATGCAAGTTTGCATAATTAATGGAGACATTCTATAAATCAGCTGCGTTACATTAAAGGACTATTCAAGCTTGTGACATGTAATTTAGAACGAGAGAAACACAGGCAGATATTGATTATGTAAATTTACATTTAATTTGCATAATTAATGAGAAAATGTAATAACTCCATAATGCTTACTGCCTGGAAATTCATACTTGGGGTGGCTGGTGTCTTTTCCAAATTTAAAGTGACCAGTGTTACCATAGTAACGTACGGACCTCCCACGACGCTCTTTTCTGAACTTGCTCTTCCTATCGTCAACGGTAACTTGCTCAGCAAAAATCGAGAATATCCATTTGCAGATTCACGAATAACAATAACGACCACCACAAAAGGTCAAATTTAAGGACATAGGAACGAGGCGCATATCAGAACTTGACCTCCGTATTCTCAACGGCGACTTGTCCACTAAAAATCATAGACAACCACGGAAGGATTCCCGAATTATCTGACGAACAACAAAAAACGCAAACAACAAAGCTCAGCTTCAGTAACGTAAGAAGCCCCCACGAAGCCCATTTCTGGCCATCGCAATGCCCATCACTAAGACAACCTGCCTGCCAAAAATCGTGAACCACGGACCATGCCTTCAAACTTTATCGTGCATAATCTGCAAAACAGTGCAAAAACGATTTCATTGCCTTCTGTCTAAGGCAATAACTAAACAAATCTGTTCATTACTCTGTGAAAGAGGCCTGGACCTCCGAAAGGAGTGTTGTGAACAGCCGTTTTTCGTGTTCGCAGCTGCATGTAGAACACGGGGTTCCCTTTGCGCAATCGGCATGCAACTTGATACGCCGTCTGCGGGCATGCCGGTGTTGATGCACGAATTGACGTTGCTGCTTTCGCGGTCAATGTAATATTCCAAATGCACCACTACAATTATGAGGCAGATTGGAATGGTCCAGAAAAACCCGTTGTTTGGAATAGCGGGGGGTCGGGCAAAGTTCAGGCAGATGTAAGGAGGGGCATATAAGTGGTACCAGATGTTTTTGCCGATGCGTTTCACCGAATCTTTAACATGTTGGCAGCCAAAACGCACTGTTCTGTACGCAGCATTTCTGTGTAATGTAATCTATAACAAACACACAGACACACAGGCAGACAAACACACTAACACAACAAAAACAATACCTCAATTTTTCATGGAGGTAACTCTGGAGGTAAAAGAAATCGTATCAACTGCTAAGTAATGAAAATGTTGTCTCAAAGACACAGAGAGTTTTTACATATCTGACATGAGGAGGAAGTGAGTTCCAGAGGACTGCACCGTAAAAAGGGAGCGATCTCCTTTTGTGCTTCAATCGTGCTTTTGGCAGCTTTAGCCCCCCGACCCGTGTAGTCGGGTGTTGTGTGTAGGGGTACCAGCGGAATCTTGTGAATAGTAATAGTTTAGAGATGTTTGGAGGTGACATTCCAATAATTGTTTTAAACATAAAACAAGAATTCAAAGATCTCATACCTCTATAAAATATATGAGTTTTTGTACATGTTCTTTTGTCTCATTGACTATGGAAATAAGGTCGCATAGTGGTGTTAACCTTTAAGTAACTTACACATGTCACAAGATATAAAATTCCCATCATTCATTAATAAGGAGTCACAGAATTTTCGCGGTAATTATGCAAATTAGGTCATTATTTGCATAATTGGTATCTGTTGAAGTTCCGCCTGCCACAGATTAAATAGATTGCATGTTTATTATATAAAACACAGTGACGATAGGCTATTAAAAACTCATCTGTTTAGCCAGTGTAATCCTCAAATACACATAGGGGAGATGAAACCCCCAAGCCATCCGCTACTGGATACCAGCATGGCGATCACAAGTATTTAGAGGCCAATAACAGGTCAAACCATGAAACATGTCACACTTTTAGGCCATATTTGAAAAAAATATACATTCTTCTGTCCTTCTTACCAGAACACTGGGCCTTTCTGAGCAAAATTTGCCCAGGAAAAAAAAATTATCTCAAAAAGAAGTACCAAAATAAATCGGTGTACACACTGCTAGTTCTGCGCATGACGATTTGCACTTTGGAATCGCCCTCTACGGACGTGACCTGACCTGCAGCCGACTAACCCGGAAAGCCAGTTGCGTAATACTGCGCATTTATACAAGAACTGCAAAACCTTCACAATTCAAATCATACAGTCTCAAACCCGATACATTACGTCTGGCTGACGCTTTTATCAGGCTTTCTACCCAGCCTTCAAGAATATTCGCTGTACTACTTTCTATACCCGCGTTACAGACACCGGGGGTCACCCATTAATACTGTGTGCTGCTACCATACAGCATTGCTAGCTCTGTTCTTTGGGCATAGCAAAAAGACCCATTTTACACAATTTTATAGTGGTGTATGCCAAACTATGTCTTAAGTTCATTTGGCATTTGCCTAAGACACATCTATAACAAATTTCAGGTCGTTTGGTTTTAATACAAGGGCATTAAAGCTTTTTGTCTGGAGAGAGCAGAAAAACTTATTTTACACATATTCAAAGTAGTGTTTACCAAAAATGTGAGTATAGCTCTTTGGGCATACGTCAAAGGCACTCCCATACCAAATTTTAGGTCATTTGGTTGTAATATTAGGTCACAGGAGCCAAAAATGTACATTTTTGTCTGAAAATAGCAGAAAAGACCTCTTTCACACCATTTTCAAGTGATGTATGCCAAAGCTGCAAATGTCATTCTTTGAGCATATGCTCAAGGCACCCCTGTACCAAATGATGAATTCTGCATTCCGTATTTCCGTAGAAAGACATGGTACAAGGTAGGTAAATAGTATGTTGCTTCGTTCACAAAAAGACTCTCTGACCACTATAACTACGATAATCATCTTCAAAAAGCCTACACTATACATACACACAACACCCACCAAAACAATATCACACTGTCGAAGGCATGAGCCCTCGGAACTCTAGTGTTGTGTATGTTTTCTGGTGATGGTGGTAAGAATCTCTACAAAAAGCAGTTGCCACTAATACCTATTATGGCGACAC